TTCCCTGTATATTGCTGTTTTTCTCTGTCTCAAAAATAAATAAAAGCATTAAGAAAAAAAATTTTTTTTTTTTTAAATAGAAATAAAGCCGGCTGATTCCAAGTTAATTCTCAGTGGTCTCCAGTATGGATATATGGAGTGCACGCATTGTGCCTGCGTTCCTCGTGTCCACGTGTGTCCGATGTGGCGGCGTGACCGCTGCTGGTTCTTCAAAGGCAGTAGTTATAAATATCACGTATTTTAAGAAAATCGGGCAACCTCTGTGTCTGAGGCAAAAGGAACATTGACTTACTGGCGGCGTCCTTTTCAAATATCAACTCACTGAAATTCCGTGTCAACGATATCATAAATTCACATCTGTCTGTGAGTTTGGTGCTGTAACCGTTTATAAGTTTCAGATTATTTTCTCCCTACTGTATATAGCTGTTAGTTGCAGAGACATGACACTCCGTCTTGGCAGAAAACTTCTAGGATACTTTTTTTTAAAAGTGATGATTGTGATTCGTATTTCAGATGCTTACAAGCTTATGTTTTGGAATCCAGCATTGCAGCACTGCTTGACTCATCGTTTGTGTCTCTAGAGGTTATCCGGACTCCCATCCAATAGCTCGTCGAAAATTGCTCTTCTCCCCACCTGTCCTGTTCCTTGGACTGCAAGGAGAGATGGGCAGAATTAGCTAATGATCCCAGGACACTTTCCAGGAAGGTAAGAAATGTTTTCTCTCTGTTAGCTTTCTCCAGGGAGAGTCCTTTGAAAGAGAAGGGAATTAACCCCTGAATGCCGAGTATCCAAGTTTAAAGTCAGCATTCCTTGGACTAAGCAGGACCAGAGCAGTTTCCTAGTTCAGAAGCTTGATTCTTATGTCGATGACATTGGATCTTCTGAAGGACCCATTATACACAAGAATATGAAAGCGTATGTGCCGAACATCCCAACAGGTTAGCATTTTTTTTTTTTTTTACGATATGTCAAACTCTTCCGTTATTGTTATATTTGCCATGGCGACGTGTGCTCAGTGATACCGCTCTTGTAACTGTCTGCGGTGCCATGAGCTGCATCCACGTAAGGCAGTGAACTTAACTGATAAACGTACGTGTTCTGACCATTCCACCAACCGGCCGTCCCCCTGTCTCTCCCCCGTTCCTCAGGTCTCCTTAGTCCCCGAGACACAATGATATTGAAATCAGGCCACTCGATAGTCCTACGACGGCCTCTAAGTGTTCAAGGGGAGGAAGAGCGGGGCATCTCACTTTAAATCGAAAGCTAGCCGTGATTAAGCTCAGCGAGAAAGGCATGTTGAGAGCCAGGGCAGGCCGAAAGCTAGGCGTCTTGTGCCAAACAGCTGCCAAGTTGTGAATGCAAAGAAGTGAAAAATATAACCCCAGGGGTGCCTGAGAGCTCAGGGAGTTAAGCGTCTGACTCTTGGTTTCGGCTCAGGTCATGATCTGAATGGTTCGTGGGTTTGAGCCCTGCATTGGGTTCGGTGCTAACAGCAGAGAGTCTGCTTGGGATTCTCTCTCTGCCCCTTCCCCTGCTTTCTCAAAATAAATAAATAAACTTGAAAAAAAAAACGTTAACTCCAATGAACACACGAATGATAAGTCAAACAGCCTTATTGCTGATAAGGAGAGGGTTTGAGTGGTCAGCATAGAAGATCAAACCAGCCCCAACATTCCCTTAAGCCAAAGCCTAATCCAGGGCAAGCCCCTGACTCTCTTCAGTTCTATAAAGGCTGAGAGGGATGAGGCAGCTGCAGAAGCAAAGTCTGAAGCCAATCACGGTCGGATCATGAGGTCGAAGGTGCCGTCTCCACAACAGAAAAGTGCAGAATGAAGCAGCATGTGCCGATGTGGGAGCTGCAGCGAGTTCTCCAGAAGATCCAGCTAAGAGAGTTAGTGAAGGCGGTTACGCCAGAAAACAGATGATCGGTGTAGACCAACAGCCTTCTTCTGGAAGATGCTGCCATGTGGGACTTCTGTGGCTGGAGAGGAGACGTCCATGTCCGGCTTCAAAGCTTCAAAGGACAGGCTGACTCTTGTCAGGGGCCAGTGCGGCTGCTGACTTGAAGTTGACGCCAATGTTACCATTCCAAAAATCCTAAGGCTGTAAGATTGAGGCTGGCCCTACTCTGCCTGTGCTCTAGAAATGAACAACAGAGACGGGATGACGGTGCATCTGTTTACGACGTGGTTTCCTGAACACTTTAGGTCCCCTGTTGAGACCTTCTGCTCAGGAAAGAAAGATTGCTTTCCAAACGGCACTGCTCATTGACAATGAGCCTGGTCACCCAAGAGCCCCGGTGGAGACGCTGTTTTCATGCCGACACAACACCCATTCTCTGTAGCCCACGGATCAAGGTGTGATTTCAACTTTCACGCCAGATTCACGGGAAGAGGTCGAAACATCAACGCGAACGGGACTCTGGAAGCAGTGGATTCCAACCCTCAGGGACGACTCTGAGGGCCCATCATGACCCCAGCGGGGGAGGTCAGTGCGGGTGTGGTGGTAAGAGCTAGAGAGCTGTGGAGTTAGAGGTGGCGCCTGAAGACGGGACTGAACGGCTGCCGTCTCGTGATCAAACGGACACAGTTGTTGCTTCTGACGGATGAGCAAAGGAAGTGGTTTGCCGAGCTGGGATCTACTCCCAGTGAATGTGCGGTCAGGACTGTTCAAGTGACAACAAAGGGTTTAGAATAGGACATCGACTTGGTCGCTAAAGCAGCGGCCGGGTTTGAGAGGGCTGACTTCAATTTGAAAGCAGTTGTACTGCGGGTAAGACGCTATCAAACAGCATCGCCTGCTACAGACAGATCATTTGTGAAAGGGAGAGTCCATCGATGTGGCCAACCTGACTGTTGTCCTATTTTAAGAAATCGCCACCCTGATCCGCCAGCAGCCCTCAGCATGGAGGCAAGACCCCGCACCAGCAAGCTCGGATGACAGTTGGCATGTTTTATCAATAGACTATTTTAAAATGAAGACGTGTCCGTTGTGATTTTAGACATAACGCTAGTACACGCCACATAGCCTACAGTATCGCGTAAACATAACCTTCTATGTACTGGGAAACCCAAAACCTCACTTGACTCGCTTTACTGCGATATTCGCTTCATCGTATCGGTCCGGAACCGAACCCTCGATATCTCTGGGGTCCACTGTATGAAGGATTTTTATTATTGGCGGTGTTTAAAAAGACACTAGATGGCGCTACGAGGTCATTACTATAAGCCTCCAACAACAGACTTCTAAAAGCATAGGAATTTTGTCGCTGAGTCAATTTATGCATCAAATCCAAAGCACATGGAAAAAATCCTCTAGCATCTCCCCATCTTTCTACCAAAAAGCAGCTGTTCATCAATGAAAAACAGTGATAAAATAAACAGCTCGTTAGTGAAAACAGCATGTTCTTCGTTGTAAGGAAATTCTATGAAACAGATTGCAATTTAAACACTTCCTTGGGCGTCTGACTTGCCAAAGATGCGGTCACAGAATTCTGACTAGTGCCTGCCTTGCTGAATTAGCAGAATGCAGTTACATGGTCCCCTCTGCAGCCCTCTCCACCTTCTGTAAGGGGCAGTGAGCGAGGTGGGAGAGATCCATCACTAGGAAACCGCGGGATAACCACAGTGCCGGTGGAGGGCTATGGTGAACAGGTGTAAGATCCCGTGCGATGCAGGATTTAATGAAAACAAAAAATCAGTTAAGTGATATAAAACAGCCTCCGCACTCTGGTATATAATACAGTTGGAAGAACTTTCTAAAACTCAATGGTTCGTTGGAGCGAACTGTTTCATTCTGACACTTCAAGTAAAACGGATGTGCGATTCTCCTTTCTTGGGGAAAACCAGTTACATCAAAGAAAGAGCTCGGGATAATGCACAAAACCCAGAACCCGGGTTCACGTGGGCATGTGCGTCTCCGTGACCACAATAAACCTGCAATCTTTCCAGTAGCTGCAGGAGAAAAGAGAGAGAAGAGGGGAAGAAAAAAACCCACAATGTATATTTTAAAAGACGTTCGAAGAGTAAGTGATGCTTTGAGCCAGAGTTTGGGGGGTCCTGGCCATTTTTAAACGATCAAGTTTTTCTCCAGAGCAAACGACAACATATCTCAATGGTCAAGTACCCAATCAAAACTAACAGAATACCTTGCCTTTCTTTTCTTCTGGCTTGCAAATCTGGAGTACAGCGGGGAATTTTAGGCTTGGAAAAGGGAACGAATTATGAAAAAAACTGAAAAGCAGATCTACCTTTATAGAATTAGAATCTGGTTTCAGTATTTAAAACTTTTTTTTTTTCTTTATTTTTGAGAGAAAGAAACACAGTGTGAGTTGGGGAGGGGCAGAGAGAGAGGGAGACACAGAATCCAAAGCAGGCTCTGGGCTCTGAGCCGTCAGCACAGAGCCCGACACGGGTCTCGAACTCAGGACCGGCGAGATCATGACCTAGACTGAAGTTGAACACTTAACTGACAGCCACCCAAGTGCCCTAGATGCTTTTTTTATTTTTAAGTAGTCTCTACACCTGACATGGGGCTTGAACTCACAACCCTGAGATCAGGAGTTGCACGTTTGGCCGACTGAGCCAGTCAGGCACCACCCCCGGTTTCAGTCTTTTTATCTGCTTCTGTCAGTTCTACTCTGGTCACCCTGGGGTCTCTGTCTGGACTCAACAGACTCCGTCTTCTCCCCAGATTTGAGCATTTTCCCGGAACAGGGGTCCATGCTTCTGACTTGCACAGGAAGCACCTCGGCAGGGGGAGGAAAGGCCGCAGACTCTCGGCCAAGGACTTCCCTCCAAGCACTGTGGCCTCAGGAGAGACGGCCCCTGTCCCCGAGGGGAGCACGGCCATGCCTCGGCGCCCTGTGCTCTTTTGGAAAAGGCCTTTTGTTCTGGGATCTGTATGCAACCGGACAGGCTGGTTCTGCACCCCCCTCGCCCATAAACGCCGAGCGGGGCACCACCCCGGAGACGCCCCCGCGGAAGGAGCGCGCCCTCACCTTCTGCGCCCAGGCGGCTCTCCTCTCCTGTTTGGCCTTCATCTCCGCCAGCAGACCGCTGCCCATCACCTGCACCCCGTACCTCCGCCCGGCCTGTGGGCTGCCCTTGCTGTCACTCCGGTCTGCCTTCCCCACGTCTTCCCCTGGACTTTCCTCGACGGGGTCGGGTGTTTTCATCTCCTCCAGCCGCTCAGAACTGCCATTGTGCTCCGCTGGCTTCGTGTCCTTCCTGGGTGTGTCCGAGGCCGGACTCCGGATGGCCCCTTTGGGCGACGAAGGCTCGTCCGTCATCAGGACCGTCGGGGGCCGCTCCGTTTTGGACCGGGATTTGATTAAATTGAGAAAGCCGCTCTTCCGAGAATCTCGCTTTTTCTTTTCGTCTCCTCCTTCACCAAGCTCATGGGACTCGGAGCCTCTTGCTGATCGCCTGCGATTCAAAAGAACAAATCCTGTGGGTTCTGATGTAATTACAGTTCTAGCAAGAATCCGTCAAGACACAAATATGGAGCTTGCGGCTTATAGGGCGACCATCACGTAGCATTTCAAAATTTTCATTTGAGTCACTGCACTCGGTAAACAGAAGTGTGGAATGTTGTCATCTTGGGTCACAGGGGAGGGGACTGAGGTTCCACCAAAGAAGAAGGTGTAGATGGTGGGACTATTAGCAGAATGAGGCATTCCAGCACGAGCAGGGGAAGGGCAGAGAGAGAGGGAGACACAATCTGAAGCAGGTTCCAGGCTCTGAGCTGTCAGCACAGAGCCCGATGCGGGGCTTGAACTCATGAACCGTAAGATCATGACCTGAGCCAAAGTCGGATGCTCAATGGGCTGAGCCACCCAGGCGCCCCTAGGTGTTTCTGTATTTAAATACTCTGCTCACTTGCCTATTTATTCTACTTGTAAGAACTTTCAGAAGCTGGCTCCTCAAAGACTGAGGTGGGCAACAGCCTTATTTAATTTGGTGCCAGAAAGGGCAAGATTCCCCCCAGAAGCACCTGAAATCCTTGCACAATCACTAGATAACACCTGAGATCCCACCCTCAGTGCTCCACCCAAAGATGCGGGTCCTTGCTTAAATGGAATACCACCGAAAGAGGTAACAGAGACCGTGAGCTTTGGGAGAGAGTTGTAACCAAGAGAACATTCAGCACCGTGGGACTGGATGGGAAAAGAGTGAGTGAGATGGGCCAAGGGGGAGGTCTCACTGCCGCCTTTCGCTTACAGCTGGCAGACCCTATCCCCTTTAGCTCCTCTGAGTCTCCAGCGATCACAGCCAAAGGTTTAAAGAAAAGAAAAAGAAAAAAAAAAAGGCAAAAGCCCCAGAGGGGAGGAAAGGCAAAACCAACAAACTTTGGAAGCCAAGAGAGTTGTGAGTGACAAGGGACGTAAGAGACTTGGGGCAGCCGACCTCTGGAGCAACGAGAGGGGTGACGAGAGGTGGAGGGGTTTGCGCGGGACTCCAAGCACCTCTGGGAACAGAAGGAAGGGGAGGCCCCGGAGAGGGAGAGACACACAGAAGCCCACTCGCCAAACCCTCAGACCCTCCCCCCACACCAGAGACCAGAAGGGCCCCTTGGCGCCCAAGTTTCCCCGCCGGGGAGGGTGAGGGACGGACAGCAGGACGGCCGAAGAACGCGTGCTGTCGTGAGAACACGAGGCTCAGGTAGAGGGTGGCGGACCGTGGCACCCAAGACCTGCATCTCTGGCACATGGATCACTTCAGGCGGATTAAGAAATAGCAGATGCTGCAGAGGCTCTGAAAACTGAGTAGAAGTTGCCCTTTCAGAAGAAGCATTTATACTTATGGGAGAAATCTCCTTTGTCAGGGTGTCTCCTCTCGGGAGCAGGCAGAGGGGGAGAGCCGCATCTCTAGAAACTTCCCAGTGGAGAAGGTCTGGACTTCAGTGTATACAACAACCTCACCCTGTTCACAGGCCTCTTCCTGCTGAGCTCCAAAACCCGTTCCCCAGCCCCCATCCCAACGTTTTTTCTTTGGTCTTTAACTGAAAATGGTATTTAACGTGGCGGCTTGGGCCATTCTGGAGAGCTACTCAGTTTTTCTGGGTCTCTCCCATGTGGGTAGGAGGTATACACGTTTTTGAAATTCTTTCTTTTTTTAGGGGTGGGGGAGAGGGACACAGAGAAAGAAAGAGAATCCCAAGCTAGGCAGGGAGTCCGACACAGGGCTCAATCTCGATCCCATGACCCTGGGATCATGACCTGAGCTGAAATCAAGAGTCAAATGCTCAAATGACTGAACCACACAGGTGCCCCATGTTCTTGAACTTCCGTTTTGTTTTTCTTCTGTTCATCTGTCTTGTATTACAGGTCTCAGCCTAGCTAGGCCTATCTCAGCCAAGAACCTAGAAGGGTATAGAGAAAATTATTTTTCCTCCCATACAATCCCAGGAAAGCCTGCATATTGGGACAGTGATACTCTCAGCTCCTTTCTCTCATTCTGGATCCTAGAATGGGGTGGCCAGGTTCATAGCCTCCAGGCAGAAGATCCAATTTCCTAACAAGCCCAAGAGAAAAGACCTGAAGATTCTGATAGTCAGGGAGACTCCCGTCCAGCAAAATGGCCCAAGACGAGTACTCTACATTGAAGTCCCCCAGGAGACAGGCTCTACTTGTTGCCAAATGAACTGGGGAGACCCTGGACCCTTGACCCAGCCTGTCCCAAAGACGTCACCGAATGCTCCTGCTCTCCTCATGAGAAAGAATTCAAGGGCAGACACAACACAGCGGATGAGTGACACAAGCAGGAAAGTTTATTGGAGCCAAAGTACACTCTCGAGGGGCGCCCGGCTGGCTGTCAGTGGAGTATGCAACTCTTGATCTCGGGGTTGTGAGTTCGAGCCCCACATTGGGTGTAGAGATTACTTAAAAATAAAATCTTTAAAAAGCAAAACAAAGCAAGTACGCTCTCAAAATGTGAGAGTAGGTGAGCTCAAGTGACAGAGGTGTGCACTGGGCTTTGGGACTCTATCTTTTAACTGCAGTTGATAACAAGAGAGTAGAATATTCATTAATTGCAAGGGGAAGCAGGGTTTTGTGCCTTTTCTTCCTTATTTGGTAAGCGCTTCCTGTCATGCCGGCTGCCATCTTGGGCCCCTCCTGTGTGAGGGGGCTTCTCAGGGA